GTCTAGCTACTAGCTATGCGTAGCAAGAGGTTGCTTTGGTTGCTACCGCTGCGGTTGGTTTACGAGCGAGAAGAAAATGTTTCACTCGCAAGAAGCCAGCCATTTGTGCACGTGAGAATTTGTTTATTTCTCTAACGGTTCTACCGGTATCCATGACTGACTGTGACTCGACCCAGAGGAAAAGATACAGTCGCAAACCGTAACCGTGATCGAAACCGTAACCGAAATCTTACCTGCCAAACTCTCGCCAATTCGTCCACGCCTACGTGGCGTGGAAGCGAAACGTCCAAAGCCCTAAATTAATTGTTGCCGGTTGCTCGCACGTCTTGTGGTCCAAAGATAGACTATGAATAATGCTATAAAGGACACCGGAGGTGTAATAGATATACCGGGCGAGCTGACTTAGTAATATTGTTGAAGTTTGGCTGAAGGTAGTGTCATTAGATTTTCCGTCTGAGAAAGAGGCGTGGTAGCTTACGGGAGCTGAGAGGCGTGCAACATGAGACGTTAGATTTTTCCGTCTGAGAAAGTGGCATTGTAGCTTACGGGAGTTTAGAGATGTGCAATGTGAGACGTTAGATTTTTCCATTTTAGAAAGTGGTGTGGTAGCTTACGGGAGCTTAGAGGTGTGCAACGTGAGACGTTAGATTTTTCCTTCTGAGAAAGTGGCGTGGTAGCTTACGGGAGCTTAGAGGTGTGCAACGTGAGACGTTAGATTTTTCCGTCTGAGAAAGAGGCGTGGTAGCTTACAGGAGCTTAGAGCTGTGCAACGTGAGACGTTAGATTTTTCCATCCGAGAAAGTGGCGTGGCAGCTTAGGGGAGTTTAGAGGTGTGCAATGTGAGGAAAATATTCAGGATCCGTTGCTATAAGAGAATGTGTAAGAAATGTGGGGGCCCAAGAGGGGGCTTCGTTTTTAGATAAACTCTAACCCTAAGGATAACCAACCAAGCAACCAACCACCACCACAATAAACGTGTTCAGAGATCACCGGGGTCTGCCCGGTATATATTTATTTTATTTATTGTGATGAGGATCAGTGAACCTGGAGTACTGTAACCGAAAGAAGACAAAGATGGATCCTGAGGTAGAGCGGATCCTGGTGGAAGAGCTCCATCATCTGGACGGTGATGAGGAAGACGATCTCTTCTGTCTGGGGGATGTCACTGCTGCTAACCCCAGCGTCGAGCAGGAACCAAAGGCAGACCCAAGCTTTCAAGATACCACTATTATTGACAATGGAATGGATCCAGAAAACGTGGAAGATAGTGCCGTGGATCACGTCAGTTTATCAAAGAAGAAAGATGATAATATTGACGATCTCAGGGCGTTTCTGGAGCGAGTTCTTCCACAAGCCACGGTTTTGGGACTCGTACTAGCTCTTGCTGGAGCCATGCAAGTGGCAGAATGGAAGCAACTCTTTCATCTTCATCTGGAAGTGACAATGGGTGAAGAACAACAACGCGTTTCCATTCCAGGAACGGCTCTTTTGTTTTTTCTTGCAGTGGCGTCTTTTCTGATACCGGTACAACACTTCAAACAACAACCACAAAACAAACAGGACTTGGACATTCAAAATAATAATGGATGTACAAGACCACTCACACAGACGCTTGCAGAGGAAGAAATCCAATCGTCGAGATCATCAAACGATATTGATATTGTTTTAGAGGAAGAATGGGAAAAACAGCAACATGACTGTCGCTGCCAACTGGCGAAAGTGTTGGGTTCGATAGGTGCACCCATTTTGAGCCCCAATGGACAAGTCGTCACAACAACGCTACAAGAAACATCCAACCATGACCAAATTCCTTCGCCTTCTAGTAGTACTGCTACATGTACGCATGATGCAATGATAAACGACGAAAAGAAGGAGCCGACCTTTAAAAAAGACAAATGGCATCCAACTCTCGTACAAACTGCCAAAGCTCACACCCGGCTCATTCACACCATGGATACCACCATGGAGATTCTCAAAGTGGGCGCAGCGTTACATCTGGGAGCCACGGAACGGACCGCCGAACGCGTCGAAAGAGCCCTTTTGGGAAGACAAACAACAAGGCTCCAAAACAGCAACAACGGCATTCCTCGAAACGACAAAACATCGTCAACAACAATGCCGGTATCGTTTCCGACCATTCGAAATCTCCTCATGGATGCCATGTTCCATCAGGTGGAGTCCTTGTTGATGGTCAACAATAACTACAACAACAAGGAGGGTATTATTAATATTTCGAAAGAAGACGTACTGGGAGAAGTCCCTCCCGTCATTACTCTGACGTGGCTCCGAGAATCACGTCAACAATTGGCAGGATTATTGAGTCATGTACTCGAGGAACTGTGCAGCGCTCCAACCCAAAACGAATACAATAGCACTGCTGGCAACAATCTACTACTACTCCTGCAGTCCAAACGAACCGCCAAAGAGTTGCAGGTACACCTGCTACATACACTAGATCTGGACGAAAGTCAAGGAGTTGTTGCAACCGAGACTGCTCCCGAGTCGTCATCATTGTCCGCGCCGCTGAAAGAGCGCTTGGTAAAGTTGAGAGCTCATTACCAGAAGGTGTTTGTTGCCCTGTGGGCCATGGAAGATTCTGCAACAACCAGCACAGAACAACAAGATGGTGCCATTATGAGTCTTGAAACAAAAGATTGGTGGGCCCGGATGAACGAAATCAACGATGAAATCTCCGTCGTGCTCGAGTGTATAGATCATGATTTTTTCTTGGAGGAGGAGGAGCCAGCATCTGAGGAATTGGCGGACCAGGAAGGTGGAATGGCGATACCAACCAAGGGTGCACAGAGCTACACTGTTGATACAGGTGCAACGGCAAACATACAACTCAAATCCGTTGCTGCAGCAGCAAAGCCCACCAAAACATCTGTATTCTCTGGCAAAGGTGCCAAACAGCCAGAACAAACCCGTCAGAAGAAGGCATCCGTGGGTTCCAAGAACAGCGACACACAATCATCCCCCGCTGTTCTGCAGGCCGATCCGGTGGCCCAACACTTTTTGCTGAGTGAATTGCGGACCAGATTGCAAACGTTGGCTCTTCCCGAGGAAGAACACGAAGTGAACCTCGATGTCAACGACCAAAACGAAACATCGTCGCTGTCACAACGATCCCAATCTTCTCAAACCAAGACAACAGCCATCCCCTTGTTTGGAGGTGCAGCGGGCTCGCTTTTGGTTGGAGACCTGAAGAACGCCGTCAAGCTACTAGGGAATGAGGTCGAGGATGACAGCTTGTCAGTTGGAGGTGATGAAGGGAACTGATGGCTGTCAAATTGCAATGCAGAACTTACAATGTTGTAAATCATTCGACCCATCAGGATGCATGGAAGATAGACATGATGACGCTAGGAAACACCAGGAGGCTTACTGTTTTTCGCCCATACAGTGCTACCTTACCATTTCAACCATATTCGACCGCAACATCCGTGCACGGGCGTCCCCTGCATTCACTCGTCATCCGACCACGGAAGTTAGCAGATAGAAGTTAGTTACCCGCGGCTGCGGCGGTCGCTACCCCACTCCACATACCATTAGCTTCCAACGTGAAGCTCTGATCCTTCGGCAAGGCGGTCATCGTGTATTCTCGCCAGAGCCTGCAAGCAGTGAACCTTCTTCACTTCACGGTCCTGCGTGCATCGTACTGTACCGGTAGGATGTAGAGTGGACCAGAGGTATCTTTGAAGGTATCGCCGTTGCTTCTTTGATGCTTGCCTCGTATTATCAGCGGCCAGGCCTGGTCTAAAACAAATGGATATTCTTGATCCTGGATTCAATGTCCGGTGTCCTCCTCTTCCTGTGAAACCTTTCCAAGTTTGCGGTGATAAGGTGGCTGAGACTGATGAGAAGAGTAAACATTCAGGGCGTCTTTGTGCTTGGCCACAACCAAATGAGGATCTAAGCTAGCTAGCTTGATCTGGCACTGCATCGGCAGAAAGTGAACTGGGGAGGCAGTCCTGCGAAAGGATATCTATGCTGCGACGTGCCTAGCTAGCCAGGTCACAATTAACTTCTGAAGAAGTCGATTTTCTAAAGATACGCAATGTACCGTACGTGCATTGCAGGGAATGGTGCAAGGAATTCAAGGACGTTTTCAGACTGAAGAGATGAGTACCTGTACAGTACAGTACTGGTACCGATTTTTAGTTTGGTCTTCATCCGGTCCTGGGTTCTGGATTTTCCGCATGAACACTGTCGCAATGGAAAGATGGTTGTCGATGCGAACATTGGAGGTATGGACCAGCAATATATCTGAAAGGTACCTGTTCGTTTCTTGCGCTGCCGCAACATCCCTCCACCGCCTCGTGCCGGTACCGCTATTTAGTTGCAAAAGGCGCTGCCGACCAGGATGCTCTAAAAGAGATGAGACGTACCGGTACAATGAACGACGAGTACACATCCTTGACTGGTCTGCAGGGACAGCACCTTCACAGGTTTGAATCTTTTCCATCCGACTCCTTCCAAGAAGATCTGGGATCCCAAGAAAAATGAGGGGATGTTTTGGAGCTCTCACAATTCGAATCGAGGCTTGCAATTTTGCACTTGCTGCGAAAACGTATTCTCGACCATGAAGCTCTCGTTCGCAATCTTGCTTTTCGCCTCGGGGCTCAACGCCGTCAAAGGTCAGAGTTTCGTCACCGCTTCGACCAACTACTGTGATGCCCATGTGGAACAGTGTCTTGAAGTTACAGAGTCGGAATGCAGTGGGAGTGAGCTGACCTTCTGCCTTCAAGACAAGAGCGGCTCGAGTTGCGACGATGGAACTGGAAGCTGCGTTTGCAAGAGCGATAGCAGCAACAGTGAAACCTACTCTCACATCAACATTTATGTGGATGGGATTGACTTGTCTGCAGAATCATCTCGTCTCTCAGACACAGGTTTTGCAGATACCTGCAATGATTCCTCTGGGAGCAGCAAGGGGTGTGGGTTGGTTGATTCAAGTGGCACTCCAGCACAAGGTGTCAAATATGAATCCACCAAAGGTGGTCTTTGTGTGACAGTACCTCTGGCAAGTGATGGAACACACCCTAAAGTTGTGTTTGGTGTCAAGGATCGTGGAAGTTGTGGCATTTATGGTTCTGCTGGTTCGTGGTCATGCTCAACGGACTGTCATTGTGGTGGAAATCACGCCTGTGTCTTTGAGACAGCATCTTCATGCTCTTACAGTGGTCCTGCAACAACTACTGACCCGCCCACCGAGCCCCCAACTGATGCTCCGACGGCAACCCCTACAGCTTTTCCAACTGCAACCCCTACCACTGCTCCGACTGCAACCCCTACGTCCAGTCCTGTTGCGGGCAGCACTCCGACGACTTCTTCGCCCACGTCGAGCCCGGTGGCAGGCAGCACTCCGACGACTCCTGCTCCTACGGACGGGGTTTCGTGCTCTGATTACGATGCCGTGAATACGAATATCTTTTGCTATTTCATCAAATGTCACTACGATGGTGGATTTTCAACTCCTTCCAGCGTCAGCTTTACCAAGACAAGTGACAGTTGCACCTGCCCAGACTGGGACTATTGCCGTTGGGGCCCCAATGAGGAAGAATCTGTGGAAGGTGTTGTGGGTAGAAGTGACGGAGAAGCCCTAGTCCCGGTGCCTCGTGGTGCCTTTGGAAACACATTTGAAGTCCATGCCGGGGGCACTTGCTTTGATGTTACTTGCGAAAGTGATGGAAGCGCAACCGCAACTGAAAAGGACACCTGTGGCTGGTGTCGTGGCGGAGGCGGAGGTGGCTGGGGAAACTGTGCGACGACAGCAATGATGACGAATGCCGAGGAGGATGGGGTTGTGGCGGCAATGGCCACGGTTTTGGCAAGCCAAACTGCTTCTCTGGAAGCACTGTAGTACACGTTGAACACAAAGGAGACATTCAATTGAAAGACCTCCACGTTGGTGATAAGGTTTTGACTGGGAAGAACAAGTTTGAAACTGTCTACAGCTTTGGTCACCACCATGATGATTTGGTCGGAGATTTTTTACAGATCCACACTGCTCAGACAGAAAAGCCTCTGGAGATAACAGAAAACCACTTGATTTTCTCCTTGGATGGTGAAGGCAAAGAAATTGCTGTTCCTGCAGGAAAACTACAGGTTGGAGATCTTGTCTTGTCAAATGGATCAACGAAAGAGGTCACAAAGATCACTTACACCAAGAAGGAAGGTGTCTACATGCCGCTGACACCATCTGGGAAGATTGAGGTGGATGGCATTGTGGCATCTGCCTATGTTTCTCTCCGGGAGGAAGCACCCAGTACCATTGAAACGACAACTAACATCTTTGGGATGACTGAGCAAGCTCTGTCCCACTGGTGGCTTGCTCCTTATCGCATGCTTTGCCTCGGTGTAAGCTCCAGCTTCTGCCGTGAGACTGGAAGTACCAACCACAGTGATGATGGAATCCTCCCATGGCTTGGTGTTGGTCTTCAGTTCGCTCACTTTTCTGAATCAGTTGGTTTCTGGGTCCGCTCTGTTGTCATTGGGGTGCCCACCTTCTTGGCCTTTGGATTCCTTGCTGCCATTGAAACCCTTCTGGGAGGGCCAAGTGTAGCTCCTCTCGGATTGCTCCTTGCTGGTGTCTGTGCGTACTATGGTTACAAGAAGCAGATGAATGAAAAAACCTGGCGTGACGTCCATCCCAAGAAGACGAAAGTGGCCTAATTGGATTCCGTAGAAAAGAGAGTTTGTGTTGTGTTGTGTTGCGAATTTAGTGGAGAAGATTCATTGGACCGCATAGAAAAGAGTGTCGTTACTCGATGAATCATCAAGCGGGTTCTGGAAATGGCACAAGCATAGGAAGGTAGTCAGAACGGGGGCGCCGGACCTGGCCTTGAGTATCATGTTTCCTTGAAACTAACTAGCTAATAGTCTCAGCTACGTTTGATGCAAGTAGGACAAAGTAGTTGATTGGAGCACGCTGCCCTACAGTCGACACTTACTTCTTTATGGATTGCCGTTTAGCTACGCACGACTCTCGGACAAGACATCTTGCAATGCCGCTTGCACATCTTCCTTGGGGATGAAACTAAACCACTCGTCGCAGGAAGCTCGTGCGGCCTGCAGACAGGCCAAGACTTCGTTGACATCTACTTCCCCGGATGAAATCTGGTAGTCAATCTCAGCTTTGGCATCGTCCATGTTTTGCAAAACTTGATTGCGATACAAGTCTCTCAAATCCAAGTCACTGACGACGACGGTATTGACATCGGGCAAGGCATCGTTTCGGACCAGCGCCTTCCTTTCGGCTCCTTGGACGTTGAGTTGATAGGAGTCTCCAAAGACCAGGTTGTTGGTGTAGGCATTAAATGCTGCTCTCATGGCATTGTTTCGTTCTAGATTGCGCTGTCGTCCTCGCAGTATTTGAAAGGTGCGTTGGTCACCCCATTGTTGGAGTGATGTATTCAACCGATCATAGGGTGTCGTGTAATCAATGCCAATTTCTTTTCCCTTTTCCTCTCGCTCCTTGCGTCGAGCAGCTTGCCATGCCGCATTGGTGTCAATTTCCAGATATCGTGTGGACAACTTGAGTTCGTCGGGTGTCATGAAGGATGCTGGTTGTTGCGCCAAAAACTCTCTCAATGGTTCCCATACAAGACTTGCAGCCCCTTGTGGTGCCGTCTTGGCAGCTTGACAGAGTTCAATGGCATTGTCAATGTAGAGCTTGATGCGAGTGGCTGGTCGCAGCAGTTCAATAGGACCTCGAACATCGGATGCCAACGCGGGGGATGCCTGAACGAAGCTGCCCACAAGACTTGCCAGAGCGATTGCCCCCATGGATCGTCGAGCGGAATCCACAGAATTAATAATGTCTTCCGCTGAACCTTCAAATGATTGAGAGATTTTCAAGGCACTGGAAGATCTTTCTTGCAGAGCATTTTGAAAGCTAAAACCAGAACAACACTGAAGACATCCAGAAACCACCAATGCCAACCCCAGGTTCACTTTCCACGATTTTCGCATCTCGTTGTTACTCTCTCCTTGTTTGGAGAATGTAATGTATGTACGATAGGTCTTGGGCTTCGACTTGATCTGCCAATTCAGAAATGAGACTGAATCACCAAACCCCTTTTACAAGCTCCATGCAGAGGACTGAGTCACCCATCCATGGTTCAGCAAGGCATCAGCCTACGGACTCGAGAGATGAAGGTGTCATGATAGTGCTGATTTGTTGGAGGTTGCAAAGGGCTGAGTCAGTTTATGCGTACTTTATGCATACTTACGACATTGCCCTCAACGGACTGGAGCGGCTGATAATCCGCGAATCGTGGCACGATCCGCGGATTTAACGGTTTTCCACGAATCCGCAATCCACGAAACGATCCGCCGATCCGCGAATAACCGCGAATAACCGCGAGAATCCGCGAGATTTAAGAACCAACTCCTCTATATCTTTTAAAAGTGGCATCCTAAATCTCGCGGATTTTCGCGGTTATTCGCGGCCGCGCTCGCGGATTCGCGGAAGAGGTGCTCGCGAGTCCCGTTTTCAGGCGCTCCTGAGGGTCTTTCACACTTTTATCGCTGTATGTGTGTGTGTGTGTGTGTGTGTGTGTGTGTGTGTGTGTGTAGGTGTGTGTAGGAGTGTAGTCGTTGAGTGCTGGTAGAGTGTGATGTTGTGTGAATGTGTGTAGACACTACTAGAGTTAATCTACGACGAATCTACCATTGGATGTTTATCCATGGGGTATACCGTTGCTTGCTGATTTCCAAATTCTGAGCTTAAGAATTTCGCTGTTTGCTTCATCAGTGGAGCAAGCTGGGGATGGCAAAAGATACAACCGGGTAGGCTGTGAGAAAAGCAAGGTACCCTGTTTGTGGTGATTTCGAAAATAGACACATAGAGCTGTCGGTATAGACCGAAAACAGCTAAACTAAACCGTAAATCCAATACCTCGATGGGCTGATGTGTGTGTGTGTTGTGGTTGTGTGTGTAGGTGTGTGTACGTTGAGTGTTGTGTGAGATGTGTGGTGTTGTGTTAGATGTGTGTGACACTACTAAGAGTTAATCTACACGAATCTACCATTTGGATGTTTATCCATGGGGTATACCGTTGCTTGCTGATTTCCAAATTCTGAGCTTAGGAATTTCGCTGTTTGCTTCATCAGTGGAGCAAGCTGGGGATGGCAAAAGATACAAGCCGGGTAGGCTGTGAGAAAAGCAAGGGTACCCTGTTTGTGGTGATTTCGAAAATAGACACATAGGAGCTGGACGGTATAGACCGAAACCAAGCTAAACTAAACCGTAAACCGTACCTCGATGGGCTGGATTGTGTGTGTGTGTTGTGTGGTGTGTTGTGGTGTGTGTGCCATGCTCCCCGACAAGCCTCTAATCAGAAAGGATGAGACGGGGGAGCCATCTAGTTCTGGAACCTTCCTGTAGACAGTAGGTTGCCAAGATTGGGGGCCTGGAGTAGGCTACAATCATCTATCCAGTCCCATTGGCAAGTTGCCTCGCATGGGGCCCACTGTGTGTGGGATCCGGACATGCTTGAAGGGCATCAGGTTCGTGGATTGGCAATGCAATCCCTCCAGCCTTGCTGGAAGACCTTGATGGGGGATCCTTGGGATGTTATTCCAGGTGCAGCAGCTGGATCCCATGGTGTCCCTCTTGTTGTTGTTGGGCTGGGGGCAGTGTAGGCCCTTGCCCTGGTGATTGCTGCTTCAAAAAGGGGCCTAAGTGTGTGGCTTGGTAGCCCCTGGCCAGGAGCCGCTTGAAGAAGAGCTTGGTCCTTGGCGAGCCTGTCAGTCTCCTCAGACAGAGTGTATAGATCCTAAAGAGGTTGCCATACACCACTCCAGCAGGAGGCCTGGTGGTGACAGGAGTGGGATGGGATGTAGAGATATAAGTTGGTTGGTTTCTCATACAGTGTGGTGACCAGTTTGTTGTGTGTGGGTTGTGTGTTGTGTGTGTGTGTGTTGTGTGTTGAGGTGTTGTACGTTGAGTGTTGTGTGAGATGTGTGATGTTGTGTGTTTGTTGCAGCTGTTTTTGTTCGCATAAGGGACACTTGCTTCGTTAAGGATAGGGATTAATTGTGTGTTCTGTTGGACACAGTAGTTTCTACCCATGGGTCCAGTACTGGCTGGCTATGCAGACTCGAGAGGCCCCCAAAAGCACGCACCTTAAGGTTTTGAGTTTCAAGGTATCATGCATATAATATGTATCGTACGTATTGTATGTATTGTACATATTGTATATATCGTACGTATTGTACGTATATATGTATCGTACGTATTATACGCGGAACGTGGACCAATGAGATCCCTTGATCAGCAGCAGCCATTTTTTAAAAAGCACACCAACACCAAAACCACCACCATCCACACTTCTTCTTCTCTCCTCTTGTTGCTCCTGCTATTGTTGCTTCTGTTGTTATTCAGCTATCACACCATCTCTACCACTACTATCAGTACATTTACTCAGCTTCCTGCCTGTGAAATGGTCAGAGAGAGTGCTATTCATCAGATGAGCAAAAGTTGATGTCATATTACCCTCTCTTCTTTCCTCCCTCCATGCTCATACCCAAGTCTCTCAACAATGCTTTCACTCTTTTTCTATTATTCATAGACTGATAGAACAAGGTGAACAAGAAGGACACCACCCAGGAAGTCAAGGAAGTCAAAAACAGCACATTTCCATTTCACCAGTAGATCACAGTACTGAAACCTGTAAGTACCTTTGTATCGTACGTATATATATATAATATGTATCGTATGTATGATACGTATGGTATTTATTGTATGTATCATACAAACCTTTGTATGATATGTATGATATGTATCGTATGTATGATATGTATGATATGTATCGTATGTATCGTATGTACTATATCTATTATATGCATAATGTATATCATACATATTTCTGTATTGTACTGACTGCAATCTTTGTTTCTGCTGTTTGTATATGGCTTTATTCATAGGTATCATGGCTGAAGGTGACACTAACCCCATGGGGGACGATGCCTTAGCAGAAATGCAAATAGATGAAGTGCGCGCTCCTCCTGGCCCGGACAATTGTGGACCTTTTTGGCATTGGGAAATCTCTGAAGAGCAGCTTGTCGAGTGTGTGAAGGACAAGATTCCCCTTGTTTTAAGGTCTTATGTTGATCCAAGAAGAAGGGCAAGATTCAGCTTCATACTATCTTAGACCCACAGGATCAAATCTACTGTCTGGACTGCGTGCTCATGCTATTGGTTTACCCGAAGACCAGATACCTTTAAACACCCAGTCCCTCAAGCTTCACAACAAGGCAGGCACGTCATTGTACCAGCATTGCATGGGCAAGACGGGTAAGACTAAGAGTGTTAAGGAAAGCAAATGTCTGACTGAATGTTTGCCCATCTGCAGCTTTGCCTGATTCAGTCTGCAGCTCTCTCTTCTCCGCATTTGTTTTGAAAGTAATATCACCTGATTTATACTCGGGGTACATTCGGAAGAGCCGCTGTGCACTTTCTGTTGTCCATGCTAGTGCAAGAAGAATCAAGCCCGATCCGGTAATGGATAATGCATTCCTAACCTTTTCAGAAAATGCTGCAGCACTGTCGACTTCATCAGCCAGAGCATTGGAATCAATGTCTTGAGGAGCGGCACCTCTTCGTCTTTGTCTAAATCTCAGGTGTCCAGTTTCAAAATCGCAAACAAGACTACAAAAGCTTTGTCTTATCTGACTGGAGTCGTGCGAGTAGCCGGTCAGCTGCTGTTGCTTCATCAGCAGGGACTTGCGTTTCAACACCATCAGCTGACATTATCGAGAGCACAATCCCTTGCCGGAGATTCCGCTTCATGCCCTCCAGCTGCTTTGAACTCAGGGTAGCACCAGTGTTTCGTACAGCAAAGTTTTTATCACACTGGGAGGCAAGTGATTTTTCAGGCACTGATCTGCCAATGTGACCACCTCGGAACCCAAATGTTTGATCTGGACTTGAATTTGGCTAGAGTCGAGCTTCGGATGTCCAATGTGTTTGGTGCTTCCGCCTTGTTTGGCTAGCAGGAACCATCGCCTGTGCTCATTACTGAAGTAAACATTAAAATAGAAAGACAAACTTTGTCTTTTCCAATTATAGGTAACTGAGTTTGGTAGTAGGACTGTGTTGGGTTGCCTTGATGGTGCTTCCTTATAATACCTATGTCTCGGGCACACGACTGTAAGGTAGGCTCTTCGTCTGTCATAGCCTCTGTTTTTAACATTAAGCCTGCTTCCTTGCATGCAAGTGCAAATTCAGACATCAGTTCCTCTTTGATAAACTTTTTGTCATCTTTGTTGATTTGCTTGGCAGCCATCAATACACGTCGGTCTTGTCAATTTGAGCATTGCCAAGCTGGCAAGCGTTTGCATAATGTCAATTGTTATAGGAGTTTCATTTATTAGAGACGTTGCCACAGCTACACTAATAGAAGGAGGGATCCACTCTTCTACATTGGTATCATATTGGGCAACATCATTCAGTTCAGCAAGATAGGTATCCATATTGGTTGTTGTGACACTTTGGTGGGTGCTTCAGTTCAGAGAGATCTGGCAACTTAGAGAACTGGCAAAAATTCGTCATATCATATGATACATATTGTATATATTATATATCATATATATCATATGGTTAATATATATAATAATATTATATCATCTGATTTTTATGATAATTGTGTTTCGTATGATACGTATGATACGTATCATGCGTATGATATATATGATACGTATTGTATAGTATAACCCTTCCTCTAAGGTGCGTGCTTTTGGGGGCTTGTCGTGTCCATATAAACACAGTGGAGGTTTTTCCAAAGACATAAGGGACATTTTCCTTGTTAAGGATAGGGATTTATATTGTGTGTTCTGTTGGACACAGTACTTTGGACCCTTACTGGCTGGCTATGGAGACTTGCTAGTGTGTCCAGTTGAACATGGTAAAGGATTTGACCAAAGATGTTAAGGATTCGATTGGGGAATCCAATCAAATCTCTTTTTGACAGTTGAGGGCATCAGCCTCCGGCTGCTTGTTCTTTGTAAACAGTTATTCGTGTTTAGTTGCGTAACATAAGCGTAAAACTAATCTAAACCATGATACCGGAGCCCTCATGTGAAGGATCAAGGATGTGACATACTGGTAGCACTGTTCTTCGCCTCTTTTTGGATCTGGTGGCCCATTCAAAGAGTCAAAGAAGAAAACGGTTGCCAAGTCACAAGTGAAGTGAAACAGCTGAAGCAACACTTTAGCTATTGTTCACACCTTTAGTTCCTCTGGCAGAACGAGTTGGGCAGCTTTGGACCACCTCTGTGGTCTTGCCTGTGATACTTGGTACCAGTACATGACCAATTTGGTAGACGAATTCCAGTACGTATAGTTTGGGCAAATCTGCACCTCGGGGCGATCTGCACCCCTAGAGTGCGCACCTCGGGGGCAAAACGATCTGCACCTTTACGGCGAGTACCTCGGGGGCACGACAATCTGCACCTCTAGAGTGCGCACCTTGGGGGCAAAACAATCTGCACCTCTAGAGGGCACGCACCTTGTGGGCAAAAATCTGCACTGGTACGGTACCTGTTGTAGCTAGCTAGTCTCTGGCTCTGAACCCTCTTCGCTTGCCACAAGGTCCGGGGGTTCTACTTCGTGAAAAGTGTATTGTTGGAAGAACAACAGTTTGTAGATTATGTAACACCAACCTTTAATTTTAAAATCTTACCACTTGGGTTTTTATTTAGTGGATACAGGAAACCAAAATTCATCAAACGAGACTATCCTTTGTGTATTGTCGAGCTTCAGTCAACTCATGACTAAAAGAGGGTGGTACAGTACCTCCTTAAAGAGACGAAAAACGGGCCAGTTGAAAAGAGGGCTGTGGGTCATCGTCTAATTAGTTTGAGAGGGCCACACTCCGAGCCCTCTTTTGCTGTTTAGCATCCCCAGTAGTAGATATCGCCGGCAGAGAGGGACTCAATGTATGCCTTTTCCTTGTCATTGTTTTCCTTCAATGCCGTGGTGACAATCATGAAATCAACCATGTCCAAAAAGGCAGACCCCTGTGTGGATGCAAACTTGGCCAAAAAGGCAGAAAACTCCTGACGGTTCAGTTGCTGATCCGAGTCGGCATCAAAGTTTTCCATAATCTTGATCGTCTCGGAGACGCAATCCTGTAAGTTGGTGGTTTCTTGGAACTTGCGCAGTCCAAGAGCGAGCTCGTGAAAGGTCACAAAACCATTGGAATCCAAATCCCACATGTCAAAGAGACGAGCGGCCTTGAGCCGTTCGACGCTGCTCAATTTCGAAATGGCTTCCTCCACCGATTCTTTTGAATCTTCCTTGGAAAAGTCTTGGACTGCCCGTTCCAGAGTACGGTCCATGGCGAACAAGTGCTGGATGGAGTCCATGTCCAATACTGAGTCATGATTGGACGCCAGACGAGTCAACTTATCGGCAATGTCTTCAAACTTGACATGGTTGGGGTGAGCCGCCACCACATTCATGATGAGTTTAGCAAATTGTTCGAAGGTCAGACTTCGCAAGTCTTCCTTCTCCATGACCAAAAGCGCATCCACGGCAGCCTTGCTAGCACCATCAATATCTTCCGTCAACTTGTATAGGCCAAAGACGACTTCCTTGAATGAGACCTTGCCATCCCGTGTGAAATCAAAGAGACGGTACAGATCCATCATGCGCTCGTCATGAGCGGCCTTTTGGAACTCTTGTTTCTTATTGGCAGATTCCATTTTTTCCATGGACATCATGGCGGCACTCAGGCTGCTCTGCTCTTCAAACAAGACGGCCATGACAATAATATTGGCGAGTTCCAGAGTGGAGCAACCGATAATCTTGGTCAGTTTCTCACACAATTCGGAGAACTGAGATTGATCCAACATGACGGGAGCTCGTCCCAACTCTTCAATGGCTTCGACGGCAGATTCCATTGACTCTTGAAAGGCCGAGTCTCCAGTTACACTCTCCAATCCGAGACTGATAACACCAGCATCGACCTTCCCTGTGACTTCTTCATCCAACATTTGAAACAAACTCTTGAGCAACAAGGGAGAGTCATTGTCCATACTATTTAGGTCATCCAACACCTTCACTTCTGCCTGCAGTGCCAAAATTTGGAATTCAATGGCCGATCGCTTTGCTTGAACATAAGCAGAAGGAGAGTTGCAAAAGGAAGTGCGGCGAGAACTTCGAGCAGTCAACGAAGCACGGCGAACCGACATGCTCTTTTGGATTGACTGATCTCCCATCATGGTTCCTGTTGCCATCATTGTTGAAATTAAAACTGTTTGAGTTGCTTCGATCGTTGTTGCCTCAATGTAATCGGAGGATGCAAATTGTGGGAAAAGCAAAACGGAAGAAATGAAGACGTCGAGGGAAGCATTGGCTGCAACAGAATGTCCCAACACTGAACTATATTTGAATCAATTTATTCAATTAAATATAAAAAGAATGCCTTATATTTGATTATTTTATGAATAAAATACAATTTTATGGTTTATGTGGGAGTACTAGGACGTTTTAATCTACAGTAAGAGCAAAGATCTTCCGGAGGAAAAATCCAGAACAAGAAGTGCCGTCGGAAGTTGGAAGATCGTGAGCAACCGGTACCAAAGCAAGCTACGAAGGCTTGGACAATGATGTGGCTACTCATTATAAATCTTTCAAATCCAAATGCTTTCTTTCATCTGATACCAATAAATCCGCGTTTGTAAGTAGCGAAGGGAGGATTTATCATCATAGGAAATACACGCAGTTTTACTAAGTATGGTGTACTCCATTGAGACTCTCGTGTTTTAAAAAAAGACAGACAGCCCCGCAGCGGTACCGGTACAGTGTACGTACCACTCGAGTAAGGGAGGATACATCGTACGGTATGGTATGGTTAAGGTACCAGCAGGTACGTGTATGTGGCCATCGTCTCGGTGGTGGCGTGGTCCAGTCAAACAACAAACTGCGCACCCCTCAGTTCTCAACAACATCTGGCTTGGCTGTGCAATGGACGTTCCCATGTCAGCGGTTCTACGTGGTACCGGGACGAGGTTGAACCTTGAGATCCTGCTCTGTTGGTGCCAGTGGCAAGATATGACCGTTGCACCGATACCCGAAGAGAGGTCAAGTGTTACCTGGAGCAAAAGATTTGCAAACAGAGCAAGTTGGGGCGATGGAATGGCTGGCGAAAGGTTGAGATAAGGCAGATTTGGAATTCTAGCTACGGTTTCTACTCATAGCGAGATCTTCTCTTCAGCGGCTTTGAACACACTGCTCTCATGGAAGGAATCACAATCTCAATCTATGTTTGTCTTCCCCCTTTGTATTGCCTCGGCACTTTCCCGTACCGGTACCCATAGCTTCGAGTCCAGCTGCTACCCGTATCCTCAGCAGCAACTTCGACCCCAAGAACAATGGATGTTGCTTTTGGTTGCTTCGAGTCTGATGCAACAGACTCCAACATCAAGGAAGGAATCTGCGCAAGCTGATTGGATCATACCATTGGGACGTCCGTTGTTTGACCCCTTGCGGCGCTGTGGTGAGCTTCGTTGCCTTCGAGAGGTGGCTGCATTGTGTGACGAGCGGTTTTAGCCTTGATCTGATTGTGACAACTGATCCTTTTCAATCGGAACGGTCCTGTCGCGCCGAGTAGAAGACTCAATCTCTAAGTTCGTTCTGTTCCTCGATGGCTTCAGACATTCATTGGTCGTTCTGAAGTTCTGCGTTCGCCTGTTCCCATTCCAACGCTCGGGCTGGCTTCCACTCAGCTCAGTTGCTGCGGGGAAGACATGAGTGACCACCCAGTCTACCGCCAGCACTACAGGTCTGATCAGACAGGAGCTTGTTCAATTCTGGAGGCAACAACTGGAGTGTGCTGCACTCGTCGTCGCATTGCAGCACATGAAGCATGTGGTTGAAGCGGTCGCCACTTCTCCTCGTGGGTGTGCTGCTACTTCAACATCGTTGCACAATGCATCTTTGCTGTCCAACAGGTCAACGAGAGGGAGCTCTGAGAAGTATTGTCCTTCTCCTCGCCGGCATGCCTTCATCATCATTACAGTGTTGCAGCCTTGGGCCCACCGTGGAACCTCCTTCCTGTTCGTGGTCTGTTCAAAATGTGAAGAAGCTTCCTTTTGTAGCTGGGCAACGTATCGTACCGTAATTGATTGCCACGAGTCCAGTCATCCATTCTTTTAACTTAAAAAGAATGTGATGCTACATGTAGATAAACCTTGCTTTAGTACCGTACTCCAGCTCAAGTATTTCCCTACGGTACAGGACAACTACAAATGTACCCCATGGAAAAAGGACCCAGTGTGACCAAACACGACGCGCTTGAGCTCTCGGCCCTCGGTACAGGCAACACCCAAGAAAGGCTGCTCTAGGAACCATTTGCCAGCAACGCCTGTACCGGTGGCTGGCTGGCTGGCAACCGTACATGTACCAGGTACGATGTAGTGAGGGTGCTGGTCTTGTATCAATAGTCCCATCCACAATTTCGATTAGTGGGAGCGCGACAACAGCACTGCTTCGATCGATGCGCTTGCTTGCTCTCTTGTCGCGGGAGTTCTTACTCTACTTACAGGTACGTACCGGTATAAAGCAAAGCCATCCAAAGGTTTGTGTGGTGCGGAGAATGTCGACGCTGGGCTGGTAGTGACGCAAACATACTAGATACCGGTAGCTAGCAGTACACCTCACGTCTATCATTGTGCATGGCGCTGCTTTGTCTCTTGTGTTGCCCACACTTCACACGAAACCTTGGTTGCTTGCACGAAGTTCCGTTTGTGACGCGAACAAGGATGTACGTACCGGTCAATTGATCAGTCCGCTTCTTTGAAGGCTTGTCGCGTGGTCCCTCCAAGCCTGCAAGCATGGCAGTACCGGTACCATAGCGGTACCCCGATCCCCGATCCCCGACACCGGTATTAACATCACTTCACATTCACCTAACCATCCGCGGTACGCTGCGCATCGAATCGAATCGAATCAATCGAATCTGTGCGTATAAATGTGTCAATCCCCCATTGCTAACATGCATGCACTGGACTACTATAGCTAGACTACTAGGAGTAGTTCCGGTAGACATTTCAGTTTTGGGATGCATTGGCGTGATGCATGTGTTCCAGATAATACCGGCCATGAAATACAACATACCCGGTACTTTGCCTGCCACCGGGACATACTCGACTCGACTCAGCCCATCTCGGCAGGAGCCAGAGCACACGACGCCACAAGGCGAGGAGAAATGGGGAAGTCAACTTGTGAACAAACAGCGGTGTAAGTATCCTCACCATGTTGATACATACCGGTACCGGTAGCTAGCTAGCGACAGCCACTCTGCAGCCTACCGTATCTACTCAGTAGATTCTCTGTCCCGACATTTCAGCACCAGTGTGCACACTACTAATACCGGCATACAGGTGGTATGATTGATGATGGTAAAAGGAGTAAGAAGGTGATGGCTGTGCGCTTTTCCCTGGCGTTCCGGCCTGGTAAAAAACTGTGAACTTTGGGATTGCCCCGCTCAGAAAAACGCGTTGACCAGTCAGAAAGTCCTACAGTACTTCTGCATTGCTACAGTCGTAAACTTTACGTTAAGTCCAAAGAGAGGTTTAAATCCACTTGTAGCCCCACAACGAGAACTTTCCGTTCACACTCCTTCAACCACTTTTTTTAAATACTATAAATAAAAATAAAACAACCAAGGAGCGAGTAAAAAATCCGTGCCGTTACTGTACCGTACCGGTACCCGCAGCAAGAAGCAAGAGCTGATGCAAGTCAATCGAAGATCGAAGGGCAAGCCAAACTGACTACCGATACTAGCTAGCTAGTACGCTGACTTAGACTGCTCGTATGGAGTAAGTTTACAAGTTTACTACCAGGTACCGGTATGGCTACCGGTATCGCAATGATATGCAAGGTAGCTGCCTCCAGAATGATTCAGTGCGATCAATCGTTCGAACAGCATCAGAGAAAGGTGCAGCACGTGCCAAAGATAACAGAAAATGGAGCATTGTACCTTAAAGGAAGAAAACCGAGTGGATTTAATAACCTGTTTTGCTTCTCTAGTTCCACATTGAAGGAAACGATCAGAGCTCTAGATCCACAGGCACCTTGAACGCTGGGAATATCACTGCTGATGAGCAGAAGTCCAGTTTGGGGTTTGAAGGATGCCATAGACAGACTATTAATAGTCAAACTGGACAGGTATGATAGCGTACCAATACCCTGTACCATCGCAACATGATGGGGCTTCTGCAGAGAATTCTACAGGCCTGAAATGCTGTGCGTATCATAATATCATTGGTTGTGTTGCTGTTCTGCAGGTACGTTTACGCAAGACCCTTTAGTTAGTTAGAACCGAATCCCCTACTCAGTGGCTGCCCTAGTAGCCTAGCCACATGCTTAAATACGACTGGTACTGGTATTCACCTGACTCTTGTTGGTCAATGATAGAGAAAGATTTAGTTTGCTAGTAGGAGGATTAAACGGCGACAGTTCTAACATGTCCTTCTATAAAACCGCGACAAAGGCAGTCCACTGATTGATGACAAGCTGGGTACCACTGGTAGAATCTTTGGCTTCTTCGCTTCCTTTATACCGGAGAGATTATTTGTGAAAGGAGGTCGCCTTGGGTCTTGGGTTTTGGTGGTTTGGCAATCAGCTTTTTCAACAAAAAACACAAAACCTGGTGGCTGTCATTGACTCGACTTGCGGCACAGAAACCTGAGTTCTCTCAAACCGTCACACTGGTTGTCAATACTCCTATAGCCCCCAGCCCAGAAAGAAACTTTTGGAGTTGCGGGAATACCTGTCATGTTCATATTGTTTGTTTTCTTTTGGAAGAATGACTGAAAATAGAAGAAAGACACAATCTGCAAGATTGCCCAATCTGCAAGACTGCACAATCTGCAAGAATGTGACACAATCTAGATTCTTCTACAACACCTTGCTTCTGCGGCTGCCACCAAAACTCAGATCTCATACTCTCAAATGATGTTCTTCATGCAGACCCAGAGCTCTATTGCCCTTGTGAAAGCTACCCATTTATGTCTCCTTGGATCCCGCAAAGCCAAACCCTTTGGCCCCCGTAATCTACTCTGTCGCCCACCGCTGGATTCTTCCCCACCAATGGATCCTGCATAACATCTCGATTCATGAGTATGAGTCCCAAACCAGTCAAAATCCAGTGGTCAAGTTAATGAATAACTGAATACCACTGACTACACCTTTAAACTCATGCCTATCCACTCGTTGAAGCACTGTAGAAGCACAGAATAACATTGAAGCTCAAAATCCAGTGGTCAGGTGCACAGTAGTGATAGTAGTAATGGGCCTAATTTCTCGCCCCCAATACCACGGAACCTAGTCCTGAATTTCGATTCTTCTGTGCTTAAGCCTGGCCTGGCTTCCATAGATAATCTACCTACTCTAAACCCCCGTTTCACAATCTTAATCTGGAAGGCTCTAAGTAAAATCACGTAGAAACTAGTTAGGCCACATACATGTAATTAATTGGAAGAATGATTTAGAATCTGGCAGTTTCCTGGAATTTGGAAGCATGTCTCATAGGAACTGCTTCAAGAGCCCATTTCCCGCAACTCCTTTATCGTGGCAAAAGATTTTCACCTAAATGACATAGTTGAACTCCCTAAATCCAACTAAAAAGTGGATTTAGTGGTTACTGCACTGACCCTCAATCTTGCCACTGTGGTTCCGAAAGCAGGGAATCGTACCAAAATTTGGTCATTCATCACTCACACCTAAGTAAAGAAACGGCTGATGAAACCCCCTAAAACATATACATAAAACCAGTGGTTAATTGGCTCTACTACCTGGTTCAGCTGAGCTTCAGCTGGCTGGTTTATACCAGCAAGAGCTCGAGACACAGAGCCAGTTAGTTGAGCTCCAATAGCCAGTATTAATAGTCACTCGCACTATTTTAAAAGAGAATTAATACTCCCCGTTGCAGTAATAATAATTTTCTTTGTTCGCTGTTCGCTGCGAATAAATCAGGCCAAACGTGAAGATCCACTGTGCTCTGGAGTACAGTCCAGCCAAGAACATGACTCAGAGGGACCCATTTGGGCCGTGCTGTTTTTGTTCCTATGAACTGCCCGACCCGTTGCGAGTTCTGCAAGATTGCTTGTTCCTCTGGCTTCTGGCTTGGATTGGATCCGAAGCCTTCTCATCATCTAATCCATCTCAGCGAAGGTGATTGCTGTGCATTGTTTTGGCATTCATCGATAATATTATGAACAGTCAAAGCAACATCACTCTCCAGTCTTGATCCCCAACCCGCGTGTTGATCTTCATTTTTCTGGCTGCTTTGACAATTGAACAAACTTACTTGCACACACACAGCTTACATCTCACAATTCCAACAATACTGCTGCTGCAAAGAAAGGAAAAGAAACAGCATGACTTTATCCGTTCATCAACCTATTTCTGCTTGCCATGATGAGGCAGTCCCACATCCTCCACGCTTGACGAGCGTCGAAACCGAAGCAGAGACCCGTGCTGCTCTCCCCTGGGTAAGCGTCGAGAATGACGAGGAAATCACAGACGACCTGACAGGGTTCACCATGATCCTGCAACGTCCACAGCCGGGCACTCGGCGCTTAATGCGACCCTCGCCCGTTCAAGAAGTCTTCATTTCCAGCATCCGAAGTGCCGTCATGGGCCAAGACGTGGACGATGCCTTTATGAACCATCGCATCACTCCCGTGGTGCTTCGCAACGACTTTGTCGTCAAGGCGAGCAACTTTATGGAAATGTGTCAAGGGCGCATGGAACAAAACAAGAGGGGACACATCAAGATTGATCAAGCGTTCCGCAAGAATGGAAACTATTTCGAGGGCTGGGTCTTTGTCCGATGGATGGAAGTGGGTTGGAGAGCGGCAGGGTTCAAGGCTCACCGACTGGGATCACTCCCATTGGCCATGTTCCCACGCAAGACTGACGACAAGGGGCTACAGGAGACCCTGGACAGGATCATGCAAGAAGTCTTTCCCGTATTGATGGAATGCTTCCCAGATTGCGACATTGTTCCTGTGCAACCTTCTCAAGAGCTTTGGGGGCCCACTACTACGTCCAAGGCTGGTTCCGAGTTGAAGGATGCTTTGAAGCGGGCAGCAGGGGCAAGTTCCGCTTCATTGTTGGCGAAAGATGCGCTCAAACAAGCAGCAGAACCAAGTTCCACCGCGTTGTTGTTGAGGGAGGATGCTCTGAAACAAGCAGCAGAGCCAAGTTCCACTTCCATAACTTCCAGGGAAGACGACAGCAGTACCTTTGACGAGAACTCCCAGACTTCGGCGGAATCATCCGCCCCACTTGGTGAAGATGTTGGAGGGGTCGCTGGCTCTGAAGGATCAAGCCGACGCAAATCGAATTGCCTGGCAAACCTGTCTCCGTTTCGAGCCTTGTCTACATTGCTCCCGGGTGGTCGTCGAAAGCGCAGACAACAACTGATGAACAAGAGACACTGATGCCGGTGATCCTCCCAGCTCATACATATTACATGAGGTTAAATAATAATGCACATTGGGTTAATGGTTACAAATGCATTAGTTCTGGTCGTCATGTGTAACGAATGCACATTAGTTCTGTTGTTCTAGCTAGCTAACTGGTTGTGAAGTGCAGCCTTGCTCTCCCACCCCGATCCTGGCTAGCTACGGTACGGTACATGGTGTGGCTATCTATCTGCATGCATAGCTCCTATCCAGTAGCTTTACTGCTATTGGCCAGAGCCACGCCACTTTTACTAATGCAATTCCGTCACTTTCTACCTTGTTAGTGCAGCCACTCTCTTCGCAATAGGCATGCCTGTTAACGATACCAAGACCTTCAAGGATGCCTGAAAGGTCTTGGTGTACGGTATCTGGAGGGAATCTTAGTATCCCTGGATACCGCGTACAGTACCCTCTACAGGGACATAGTCATACTGGACCACTTGCTCAAAGTAGCAGATCTATCTCTCGTTGGACCAGCTCGGTCCCTACCGGTATAGACTGCACTACTGTGTCATACTCGTACTACTACATGCATTCTAGAAGTCCTCCGAAAAAGACCAGCATACGTTCTCAGGAGCCTACCGGTATCTGCCTCCTGACTTCCACAAAGCAGAGTTTCTCATCTCGGTATTTTCTCGTCACATGGGGTTGAATCTCGCATTCACACACGAACTCCAGGCCCCCGAGTACCATTCAAAGGAATGAAAACCGCAAAGTCTTTCCTTCAGTCTCACTTCGCATGAATTGGGGACACTCAAATAGGGACAAGGAAATTCCCCAGCTAGCAACACAACATTAGCAGCATTGTTCATTGTCGCAAAGATGCTCTCGTGCTGATCCTCTGTCAGTTTCGGCACAGTCCCATTGCCATAAACTCCTCCCACGCAGCTAAAAGTTCGGAGCTGAGGGCAGTCGCAAGATACATACGTGTGTTTTCCGAGGCCAGTTGTATCGATGACCTCTAACGATAGTGACTGAATGTGAAAGCGCCAGTTTCGGACTGAGTTTGGACACGACAAAGTCAAAGAACGTAGCCCTGGGAGCTTGTGTATCAGCTTAGTGACCACGTTGGAATCCGCCTCTCTGTCCGCTGTAAAACATCCCAATGAGATCGATAGTGATTCAATTGATTCCAAGGCGAACAGGGAGGTTCCAGTGAAATCATCGTAGTTGCGCCTGGCGGTTGGCAACGTAACAGTGATGGATAGATCTTTGAGTCTGGGACAATTCTTCGCAACAGTCTCGAAGAGTTCCTTTTGCCCGTGTTGGACGCTTACAACTCCCGTGCTATTGCCATCCGTAGTGAGGTCAATAAAGTTCCTTTTTCTGTGTGATGAAAAGTATGATGACCAATTGGACCTCATCGCACGGCTCATGTTACAACGCTTGGCAATTAGTTTTGTTGTGTGTTCTGTGTGACATTCTCGGATGACCTGGCTAAGAAATGGAAAGTCTCCCAAGTCTACATAACCCAAATCCAGGGTCTCTATCTGGACCCTGTAGTTCTTCAACCAGCGGGCCAGCGGAGGAACCCAATGGGGATGGCCGTAGGCAAAACCAAAATTAACGTGTACTGGACCAAGGAAATCAGGAAGAATGCGATCAATGGAGTTCTTCCAATTCTGGTTCACGGCTCGAACCTGGCCATGGATCCGTCCTACCACATTTCGAAGCCACAAAGTACTAGTAATCGGATTCTCTGTTTCTCTTTCGACCGGCTGAATGAGGAACGACAACACGAGTTTCAGAGTTTCATCATCCAGAATTTTGAGCGGATCTTCTTTCCTAGGTGCTCCTCCTTCAAAGCCTCCTTTTCGCCACTTCAAATCTATTGGATTGTTTGTACTGGAGGCCGTGTTGTCACGATACATCCGCACGGTCATCCAACAGCCTTGTTTCGGATATTGGAGGACACATGCTTTCTTCTGGTTGTACTGGCGTTTGGAACCTGTCCCACCCTTGAGCAAGATGGCCTGGCCTACCAGGGGCCTTCGAAGTGAAGCAGTACCGGTACCCTTGCGGCCGATTGCTTTGGTTGATTTGGCCATGTTCTTATGGTCGGTCCTAAAACCGTGAGCCCATGTTATGGCTGGCTCCTAAAAATCTGACCTTTGCGAAATATCACTCGATATTTTGGGCGGCAGACTTAGGGTTAACATTCAGAGATTTAAGTGACGCGCCATTTTAGCCAGCCATCCAAGCACGTCTGCTTCGAGATTTTTTTAGGTTAGCAGTAAAGCGGGCCGACACCCCTAGAACGCTCTTTCCATCCAACTCTATCGACTGGTAGTAGTAGCTCCACCAAAACCGGAGATAATAAGCACAAACAAAGACAAAGTCGACCATGCCGCAGTATAGGGCGACAGCAACACCAGCCAGTGCTGCTGCAGCAGCAGCCCAAGCAGCAGCCAACCCTCCCAGGGCCGCGGCACCGGCCACCAGAGGTCTCTTGTTGAGGAATGCAAATGAATCCATAGCAACAACTCGCATGGCAACTTTTGTGAAGGACACCAGGAAAACTATTGTCCCAGATGGCACCAAGGATGCCTACAACCCAAAGATTCAGGAGTTCGAGAGTTTCTGTGATCTGAACTACTCCACGGATCAGTTCAAGTACAACATTACATGGGAGAAGTGTCTACGATTTATGTTCTATCAAGCATTTCGTGAGCAAAAGCCAAGAGGAGGGAACAAGCAGAGGAGGACTGAAGGAGTCAAGTTTGACCAAGCAGACTACATGAAAGTGTGTGGCATCTTCTTTGATGCGGCGAATCCAGAGCTACAATACCCTACTCCCACCAAACCTCTTGGCGAGCAATCTTTCAATCAATACAAGTCAGTGATGAAAAACATGCACACTGATCAAGTTGGATTGGGTGTCTGCAACGTTGCGTGGGAATTCATTTGGACACAAGATCTGAAGAACCTCCATCTCCATGTAAAAGAAAGAGCCCCAGCATTGAAGAAAGCCAGCTATGCGGAGAAGATGGACGGTACCTTCGCACCTTATCAGATAGTCGACAAATACCCAGAAATCGAACAGCGCTTTTGGAACGACAGTCATTGCACCGCGTACAGATCACTAGCAACCTACTTACGCCACAGGGCCTGTCTTCTATATCTTACAAGTGGCATTCTTCGAAGTGAGTCCCTGTACAAAGCAGATATTTCCGACTTCTTTGGTTTGAATCCGCCAAAGAAAGACTGTTGGAGGAAACATACCTGACACCTCTTTACTATTGACTCGTGTATTAATCATCTAGTCCGGTTCGCATGTAAATTCATCATGCAAGGAACCAAGGGAGTTTTAGGTCTAAAGTGCTACGGGGGTCCTTATATCCAATTCAATCACAAGAATTGCTATGCACCACCAGAAAATCGTCACTTTTGCTTTTCAGCTTAATCTAAAACCAAATTACTCCCCAATAAGCTGCAGTATTACTAGCTAACACTGAAAAGCAAAAGGCCATCTCGAGCTACTACCGAACTCGAGATCGATATCAAGGTAAAACCAAGTCAAAGTGTATTGAAGCATTGAGTTAACACCTGCAACAGAGCAGAGGTGCGCAGAATCAGGCCCTAGCCACACTATAAGAGCAACGAAACACCTCTAACAGAGGAATTGCCATATACGTGCGTGCGCGCGATTCCCATCTCCAAGGTACGACGATCGTTCAACAGTTTCCGGCCGAACTGGAAGGATCTACGTAAACAGGTGATCAAGGAGAAGATTCCACACGGATTCGATACTGGTAACACGGCGACGGCCTCTTATCCATCGAGTTGAAGTGGGATTGCGTCATTCGGGATTTTCGATTCCCATCGCGCGAGCAAAAGCCGACAGTTGCCGATCAAGCTATCGTCCGACGAAGCGTTGCAAGGCAAGGACCCAATAAAGAGGAAGTTGCGAAACACGACAAGGGTACTGTGGCTATCAACGCAAGCTTCTAGCTCCAAGATTGAGCGAAAACGTCCAATCGTGTGTTTACTGCTTGTGAGCCGGGAAACCAAAATCCCGAGAAGAGTACAGGAGATCGAAACTCCACAACGGAAGCGTTCTGTGCATTGATACTCACACAGTACACTCATCTAACTACAACAGACAGGTCTGCCAACAAAGAGCAACCATACGAAAGGCTACAGAGGAGTGACCGTTCGCTACTGCCCTGAGCCACGAAACGTCCCAAAAAAGGACACAAGACAAACCACGAGTTACCTGGAATTCGTAGCGGTCAAAGACGAGGCTATTCGCCAGTAACACCAGAGTGCACGAAAAGAAGGCTACCAGCCAAACAGAAGCTTTTACAGGCAAATACAAAAGTAGTGCCCGTGTGGATCCTTCCTGCAGAGAGTACCACACAAGAACACAAGCTAGTTCCAAGGAACAAGCAAGCCAAGAGTGCATTACCACACAAACAACCATGAGATTCAAGGAAGGGTAGGTAGATTGTCGTGGTGGAGGAAGATACCCTTCTAGGGGGGGTAGGGATTCAATTCCTCAGGAAGAAGCCATCAAGGAAGGGCAACAGCTACAGGAACCAGAACAAGAGTTCCAAGCGTCAGTTCCTCTTCCATCCAAATGGACAGGCTGAACCAGGTATTATCCTTTTGAGGAGAACCCTGACACACATTGTCAGGACCTAAGGATCAAGCCTGGTGGAATGATGTGCCTCTGGCTTCATTGGCCATTGAGACCATGAAGAGTCAGGCGCCATCCAAGCCGGACAGCCGACACTCCAGGCATACACTTGCTGATCCCAAAGGCAAGAGTACGATGCTTTGGAACTCAGTGAGTACAAGGCAAAGCATCCATCTATGACAAGTCGACTTGATCCTATGAGAACATTCTCAAGCTGGTGCAACCACCATACAGGTGACATACTGTTCCTACAAAGATTCCTCTTGGCTGGCCAGCTTCGTCCTTGAAGGAGCCGACCACAAGGGGCGGATCAACGCCAGTTCTCTGTCCAGGTTCCCCGGGTGACCTTTCTTCCCATCGAAGTGAACTGGCAGGTATCATTGACCCCCGGAAAGTGCCCTCATAGTTGATCGGTATGCGAAACCATTATATTGTCGTCCATGGAAACAC